CAAGAGGGAATTATGTAAAGCAGGTATCCCTGAATGGATAAGGCTTCTTCTATGAATATTGCAATAAAAGGTCAAGTTAGAAACATTTAGGATTATGACCAGTATTCATGATCAGTCTCTTATCATGCTAAGTAGGATTAGCACATAAACAGTAGACACACTGGAGCCTCCAGGAAGCACATGGTTCCAAACTGTATCCCAGGGCAAGAAATACTTTTAAATAGATAGTTTGGAATCCAAGGGAAACACACACACACACACACACACACACACACACACACACACACACACACATACATATATATATATATTTCTTAAAGATTGAAAAGGAAGTGGTTTAGATATGCGTCTCATGTTATTAAAATGGACCAGCATACTATGAGATGATCAGAGTGTCATGGCTTTAACTTTATTTTATGGTAGAATCCAACCTTACTGTGGGAAAGCGCATCATTTGCCGCTCTGGCTGTAGTGGCTTGGCCGTATGCGGGAACATGGCAGCCGGCTTGGCAGCGTTCTGCAGTAGGGCCTTCATCGGGTGGTTCCGTTGTGTGGGTGCCTGCTTCGTCCATGGGATTAAGGCTTCCTGCAGGCCCTGGGCCTCTTGCCCTTCTGCCTTCTGCCAAGAGAGAACACAGTGTTCCTCTTCTTGGAGGGCACAGCCGCCAGCGAAGCAGCATTCTGGAGGAAGAAATGCAGCCTATGTGCAGACTCTGAACCTGCCAGTGCTTTCATCTTGGCCTCGCTTAACTGTGAGAGACAAGTTCCTGTTCTGTGGAGGTTACCCATTCCTTTTTAGTGGCCGTCTTCCGTTCTACATCTCCAGACTGTGTCTCAACAGCCTGCAGTACTGAAACTTAATGCACACACAGTGACACAATTTTAGTATAATTTTGTTTAAAATTTTCAGTATAATCTCGTCTTAAATATGGCTGTTACCACGAACAAAATCCTCTTCTTCTTTTCACACTGACTTTTACATTTTGTTATTTTAGAACATGTCAGAAGGGTTTCCTGTCGGGGTGGGAAGCAGGTTTTTTGAGAGACTCTCTTCCAGTGTGTCACGACTGGAGGAAATTCCGATGGAGAGTTCTCACAGACACCTCTGTGAAATCGACACTGTACAGTCACAGTATCTGCATCGATGACAGCCCCCTCCCGGTTACCAGGCATGCTTGTCTTGGTGACTATTTATACCCAAGGAGCATCATGGATGGTGCTGCCATTGCTCTGAAAATCCACTCCTGGACTTGCAAAGCTAGGTACTAACTAACCAGAATAAAGAAGTTTGTGTAAATGGCAATATTTTCACAAACTTCTCTGTACTCAAAAGAGTATTCATCCCGGCTAGCTCCGCAGTGCCAGAGAATCACCAAGGGGGCCTGCTGGAGCCTGCTGCTCCCTCATTGTTCACCCTGACCTGGTTCCTACCCTTGACTCAGTTAGTTCTTGGCATTAACTCTAGCCAAGGGCTGGTGACTGTTCTCTGAAAGGCCCTTCAGTTTCGCTGAAAGGGGAAGCCTCGTACAACAGTCGCTGGAACCTAATCGTTCCCAGAAGCCAGACCGACAGAGAAAGGCGTAAAGGACACCCAGCAGCATGGGGTCTAAAGCAACTTTGCCACCTCAGGTCTCTGACCTTTAGGTGTAAATAGAGCAGACATTTCATTGTGCAGAGTTTCACTAGGCATATAGTAGAAAAATTAGGGACACTTGTCATTTACTGAGCATGGAAGCACCTTGGCCATTTGTGGGAATCTTTCTTTTGGCTTTCAACACAAACATTTGGCCATTATTTTGAGCAAAACCAAATAGAACTAGATAACCAAAACTATAAAAATTCATTTCTCCCTCAACACAGACATTCTGGGCAGTTCACGAAAATAATCTAAATATGTATTGTTTTCTTATAAGCTCATTTTCTTCAGCTCATGCCAACATTGATGGACACTCTGTTTTAATGAAAAAAGAATGTGTTAGCTATTTCTTACACACACAGTGGATAACTGTTAGCTGAGTTTTGTTTCATCTGACAGTCATTTTGGAAAATGACCTAGTGTATATTTAAGGCTGTGCTAGATTTAACTCCTTGGTTAGTTGTTCAGTTGTTTGTCTTTGGCCGATGGTCAGAGTGGCAAGAAGGGATGTTTTTTTGTTTTTTTTTTTTGTTTTTTTTTGGTTTTTCGAGACAGGGTTTCTCTGTGTAGCTTTGCGCCTTTCCTGGAACTCACTTGGTAGCCCAGGCTGGCCTCGAACTCACAGAGATCCGCCTGCCTCTGCCTCCCCAGTGCTGGGATTAAAGGCGTGCACCACCACCGCCCGGCAAGAAGGGATGTTTAATAAGAAGGATGAAGAAGAACTGGGTCATTTTTATTCTGAGGAAGAGTAGAGTTCCTAGCAATTAATTCTGGCATTTCTAGAGCTGTGGCACTGCTTAAACAGCATGCTTCCTTCCACAGTTTCCCCAACATCTGTCATTTAGAAGATAAATAGTACTCATTTCTACCCAGGCTTGGTAGAATATTTTAGTACATCAGCCTGTTAAAAAATCATATTCTGTTGAAAATTTTATTTAAAATAAGACTTTGTAAGTTTTAGTTGTTATAGGTCATGGCATAAAGGCATTATTTGGTGACTGATTAAGTTGACAATTTGTTGTTTTCCAGTGAATAATTTTTGAGTTAATAGTGTGGTATGAGGACAAAATCACCTCCTTGTTTTAGTATTGTTCTTAGGCTCATTTCTCCATTAAATGAAGAATAAATGCTTAATATTCACATATTATCAGTTTATTCTATCTTTAGTTGTATGAATACATTGTTTAAGTAATTTCTTGTTCATGATACTTATACAGGCATCACACACACATTTATTACATATATGTCATCCCTTGTTGTTAATATACTCATCAAATGCCACTTGGTTAGGGTACCATTCAACTTAATCTACAATATAAACATTTCCAAACTTGACATGCATACCATTTTGGTAGAAAATTACATTTTCTAAATTTTATAGAATGCCATTCAGAAGAGAGCTTCTTCAGCCTTTTCCACTTGTAACACTTTGTCTCCTAGAATTAGTTTTATGTGGACCTGGGTACATGGATATATAAGATAATTATGCAAACATAGATTTACCAATAAGTTATTAATATGTGATAAAGTGATTTTAAAGCAATTTTACCATTTATCAAAGATGAAAAAATTTCATACTATTTAAATTTGTGTGTTTGTTTATTTTTGCATACTTAAATATTGTATGAATAATTGATAAACAGGATGTAACACATCTTCAGTATTCAAGAATGGATGGATATTTCAGTTTTCTAATTGTTCTGAGAATGCTGCTTCAAGTTAAGGCATAGTATAAAATGACAAAAGTGAATTTAGGGCCATTTTAGAATTTATTAATTCTGTCCTAGGCCCAACTCTCTCTCTCTCTCTCTCTCTCTCTCTCTCTCTCTCTCCTATCTATCTATCTATCTATCTATCTATCTATCTATCTATCTATCTATCTATCAATCATCTATCTCAGTCTGCAGCTAAAGTAGTAATTTTAACACTCAAACTTGTAACATAGCACCAAGATATGCTGACCTGATTCTTCCTTGGTGAGGGGTGATAGTAGGTATTACTGATTACTTTTCAGTTCCTGTGATAAAACACCATGACCAAAGCCACTTATAAAAGAAAGAGTTGATTTGAGCTTTGTCTCTAGGAGGTAAGAGGCCATCAGAATGGGGAACATGACAACAGTCCACAGACAGAGACAGGGCAGCCAAAGCAGGTTTGGTACTAGAATGATATTTGACGTGGAAATTGACTTCATTTTCTGTGTAGACATTTAGGAATATATAATAATTTTGTGATTTTTTTCCTATTATATATTTATACTTGTAAAGTGATTATAATGAAAATCTCTACAAACCCATTACTTGCCATCATCTCTAAAACTCTAATTTTAGATATTTAGACTTTTACAGTGGTTTTCTTTAACAAGCACTTCCTGTTCCAATGCACATTCACCTTTATATAACTGGATGTCATGGCATGTCCCTTTCCTTCTCAGATGTATAGGATCCAAAGGGGGAACTTCTTTAACAATTCCAGATTTGCGTTAAGACTTAATTGCAATTTAGTACCATGGGTTATTTTACATAGTCTCACTGTAACGAATTGAATCATGAAATCAAAGAATCTTAAAAATTGTTTACCCTAGTATTTGCTCAGTATTGCTCATGAGTGAATGTCCTTCAATCTGTGAAACAGTATAAAATGGCTTCAGCTGAAAGACTTTTGGGAAAACAGTGAACTCGCCACCATCTAGGTAGCTATTTTTTTCTTGGACAACACCCTTGTTTATGAATTTATTTTAATATTGCATTGAGAGTGAAAGTACCTCTGCCTTGTATTCTTTGTGTTGTCACAACTTTATTAGTCTCTGAATTAGGCCTGTGACCTCTTAGTGACCAATTATGAGGCTCCATGCCTGTCCACACACCCCGTGAGGAAGCCATGTATATCAGACTTGGCCTTTGGAGCTGTAAGACAGTACTCCCCTGAGCTGGTGGCGGTGTGGCACCTATGCAGTGACAGAGTCACTGGGTAAGGGGAAAATGAAGCATGTGTGTATATAACAAGTCCATTATGATAATGAGTTACAGTTCTTGGGCACAGTTCTGAATACTTCATGTGTTATTTTGTCTAATCCATACACCTAGGAGGGACTATTGTTATTTCCTTCTGCTGATTTCCCAGAAACAGAACCAAGACATTAAAACATAATATGATTCACTAATGTTCACCAAGTTTATAAATAATAGAGATGATGTTTGAAACTAGATGTTCTGACCCCACAGTCCACAGGCTAATACCTAGCCAATATTCCTGGCAGCTGAAACATCCAGGGCCCATGGGTGACAGAAAGTGTAGCTACTTAACACCTTAGCTGGGCAGTAGAAGTCTAGGTTGCTACATCACTGGCAGAAAAGGGATTACATATATGTCCTTCATAAAGCAATACCTTTCTAACAAAAGACAAGTTAACTGATAAACAATACAGATGTAGAATTATAAACATATATGTGTTTATATAAATAGTGACTATATATAATGACTATATATAAATAATTCTATGCACAACACAGGACCTTAATTTTGAAGATCCTAAGCCTTAGGCTGATGTAACTCATTTTACTCTTAAGTGAAGAGTAGGTAGCTGTATAGAAATGATGGGTCCAAATGGGTGTGACCTATAAGTAATAAACTAAAGAGACTCTCAGCAAGATGGGTCTGTCCACATTATTGGCTTCTATATGTCGCATTCCTTCCTCCCGCTTATGGTGTAGAATTCTTTCTAGAATGGAAGTAGTTTTTATCAAGTGGTCTTATTATGACTGGCAGTGAAGCACGTGTGTGTGTGTGTGTGTGTGTGTGTGTGTGTGTGTGTGTGTGAGAGAGAGAGAGAGAGAGAGAGAGAGAGAGAGAGAGAGAGAGAGAGAGAACACGGTAGGGGGAGACAGAGAGAAAGAGACAGGGGTATATAGAGTGTATGGGTGCATGTGCCCATGTATATATGTGTGTGAGGCCAGAGGCCAATGTGGGAGTCACCCTGTACCATTCTCCACAATTTTTGAGACAAGGTCTCTCACCAAACCTGTTGCTCACCTATTGGTTAGACTGGCTGGCAGTGAGCTTCGGTATTTTCCTTCTCTCCTACCCAGTACAGCAGTTAGAGATGTTCAGGCCTGCCATGTCTGGCTTTTTATCTGGGTTTTGGAGATCTGAACTGAAGCCTTCCTGCTTGTGCAGCTTGGTGCGCTACTGACTTGAGCCCACCCCTTAGACAATTTCTTTATGGCCAATCCTTACAGACAAATATTAGGAGGGGCCAATGCGGTGCTGTTGCCTGGCATTGGGGATAACGGATTCTGGTTTCTATGACCCTTCTTTGGGGGAAGATGAACAGTAGTTTCTGTGGCTTCCTTGTGCAGAAAAGAAGGGGCTGATGATGGAAGGCAGGAGACAGACGGGCAGGAGAAGGTCGGACACAAAACTTTGTTTCTGACACTTTAATTTGGAAAAATCATTTTCTGAGCCTCAGCAGTATTTTTATTTTTTTCTCTTCCCTTCAACTAAACTGAATAGATTTTGATTTGTTGGTGCCAAAAATACCTGTCCGTGAAACAGGATTGATTATGTATGTTATTCTGAGTTTTGCTACCAGAGGGGAGTCTCCAAGGATTATAGACTCAGTGTTCAAATTCTAGATGGAAAACAAAACAGGTCAACTTGGAAAATTATCTCTTACTTCATGTAACAGCTCTTTCCTCTGAGAAGTCCAGGTAATTATTGGCTGTACAATGAGGTGTATTTATGAAAGACTAAAACAGCACAATATTGTCAGTCTGCATCAGCGTTAGCATGAAGGAGTCAGGTGTGACCTTGCCCAGGGGGTGAAGATATTTTTCTTGCCTGTGAATCTCAGAAGGGATGGCATTTGTCTTTACAGTTCCATCAGTCTGAAAAGTTGGTGACTATGGATGGGCCCTTCTGATTGCCTCTGCTCTTGACGTCTGTCCGCGGGGCAGAATAAGGTCGTATGTCTCCAATGACGGAAAAAGAAACAGGAAGTTGGTTAGAGAAGATGAGTGAGGTCCTTGTAGAAGAGGTGGAAGCCTAAAGCATTTGGGAGTAAGAAGAAAATTAACAGAAACACTTCCACAGAAAGGAAGCACACAGGATTATTAGTGAGGAACATAATACACAAGAGTTCACCCCTCTACAGTGGAAGAAACACATAGTTTTTTTATTATCCCCAATATTACCTTTCAACAACTTACCATTCACCCTGGTTTCTAAGCTCAGTGGCTTTTGGTTTGTTCATTGGTTTGTTTGACTATGCCAACTTGGCTTGGGATGGCATTATTAAGCCAAGTACAGTTTGGTATGAGATACAATGTATAATTTTCTCTGCTAGGAACTGTAAAGCTCCTTGAGTGGTACTCCTTAATGACAACTGGAGGGCTTCCCCCACCTCATTCCCTCCCCCCCCCAGTGCTGGGAATTGAACCCAAGACATTGCTTGAACTGGAGAGCACTTTACCATTGAGCTACACTCCCAGCAGAACTTCTAGTAGTGAGGCTTTAGCCCAGGGGCCCCGTAAGTTCTCCCTGAAGTCTAGACATCTATTTTGTGTGTGTGTGTGTGTGTGTGTGTGTGTGTGTGTGTGTGTGTGTGAGAGAGAGAGAGAGAGAGAGAGGGGGGGGGAGGGAGGGAGGAGAGAGATTGAGAGGATTCTAGGCCTGTGTTCATAACCTTGTGTTTCACAATGTCACATCCCTCTGCTTTGGGGGTTGGTTTATGGTAGCACCCAACACAGTCTATTGATTATATTGAGTTTTCTGCCTTTGCAGCCCACAGTGAGTTCTGGAATTCTGCCATGTTTCCTCTAGTCTCTTTCCTTGGGTAACAGAGTCCTTGCTTCCCTGCCCGAGTGCTGAGATCCTGGTATCTTAGAGTAGATTGTATCTGGGAAGGTCTGTGTGCTGCCTGAACTTCATGTCCTTCTCATCTCCTGGGCCAAGCATGGATTCCTCTTTCTAACTGCCAGCCATGCTCCTATTTCCTCTAACATTTAGTCTCATCTGCCTAGCTCTCTAGGACACCCTCTAATCAATTTGACTTTGCCTGAATTTCCAAACTACTGTTCTCCTTTTATTCTTAGATTACAGAGATTGTGACAGGGAAACAGAGTATGTGGTCTGAGTACAAGTTTGTTTCAAATGTGAGGAGATGCAAAGATCATTTTATTTTGATTATTTAGTTGTAGCCTAAGTTTTCTCTGGTCCCAGGTTCCTCTGATCCGATCTGGCCCTGTGGTCTCTCGGCCACTTATAAAATAATCATTCAGAGGCTTAATGTTATTTACAAACTCTATGACCTATAGCTTTAGCCACTTGCCAGTGAGCTCTTTCATCTTAAATCAACCCATTTCTATAAATCTATATGTTGCCACATGGCTGTGGCATCACCTGTCTGCTGACATCTTCTTGGGCAGTGGGGCTCGTATCTCTCTGCCTCTGCCTTTCTTCTTTCCTCTCTCCTTAGATTTCCCGCCTGCCTCTAAGTTGCCTTGCCATAGGCCAAAGCAGCTTATTTATTAGCCAATGGGAACAACATCTATTTACAGTGTACAGAAAGACATCCCCCAGCATTTAATTTTTATTACAAGATTTTTTTTCCACACAGAAGCTAGACAAGTGCATGTTTTCAAATGTCCCCAGTTAGTGTTGGACTGGGACAGAGGCAGAGGATGGTGCAGAGGATGCATGCCTTTTTATATTTATATATTTTATATTTATATTTATAACCTTGTCTACTTTTCCTCCACTGCTGCCCAGTCACTTCCCATTTGATCTCTGATTATTCAGGGTGAAGTAAATGGGAAAATGAATGCCCCAGTCCCATTAAGCGCTGCTTTCAAAGAGAGAAGATTGTGAGTGTCCTTTGAGCTTCTCACGTATGTCACCGAGTGCGCGGGGTAAGGTAAAGACAGGTTGTTAAGTGAGCTAGAAAACTGTCTTCTAATGAAGCAGAAGCTGATGGTAGAAGCACCCATTTAATTACATGTTCAAACATTACTATCAACTTACTCAGATGTTGCTGGGATGCCACGTAATCCACCATCATTTTTCTTCTCCTTTGAAAAATTTAAGTTGCAGTCGGCCTTCTCTTTCACTGGGGCTGTTTAAAATAAACATGCAGAAGTTTGTCAAATGCTTCAGTCACACAATATATTGATAGAGTAAGCCAGATTATAATTGTCTTTTCCCATCATCAAGTACTTGATAAATCTTTGTGCATTTTCTAGATGGTTTTAACTTTTTTAATTTTACATGTAATATAGATCTTGCATAGTTTTTATATATACATATTACAGTGACATTATGTTGGATTAAAACTTTGTTTCTACTTCTTTATAGTATATCTCCACAAACGGTTCTAAATTTTAATAGATGAATTCATTGTTCCTACTGTTGTGTTATTTCTGTTTGTTATTTTTGTGTTTCACTGATTACATCTCTTCCAGTTGGTAGAGTGAAAAGTGATACCCTACATGTGTTTCACCTCTGTGTACTACACTTTTATGTAATGAATCATTTTTCAGTGATTATTCTGGTGTTCATTTATTCCCACCATAGGAAGAAATACTCCAGTGCCACATTTCCCTATGTAGATGGCCATTTGTCCTAAAACTATAGCTTACATGCAGTGTGTGTGTGTGTGTGTGTGTGTGTGTGTGTGTGTGTGTACCTTTGTAATTGGTCCAAGCTAACACTAGTGTGTCGAAATGTCATGATCATACAGCTTTATGATGAGGCTTCATCTTTGGTAATGTGCATGACCCAGCCCCCACCTTGGTTCCTCTTTAGAAATAGCTTTGCTTCCCTTGGTCTTGATCTGTATCTCATAGATATTTTTGACTTCAGCTATAAAATAGAAAATAGCGATGGGATTTCCTTCATGTCACCATCCCTTTAAGATCTATGTTTCCTGAAATCAGGACCCAAGAAATGCTTCTTTATTTCAGATTGGCCAGTTTATTTCTGGAGTTAATTTGTGCAAGATGGTCTTTGTAGTTCAAAACTCCATTGTTGAAAATATCTAAACATTTATAAAATATGAAAAACAATAAGAAAGTATGAAACATGTAGAGGATAAAATTAACTGGCAAGGGAAACTGGGTGGTTAAAAGGATCTCTCAGGTTTCTTTCCTTAGATATTTGGTGCACTGGAGTCTCAAAGCCCAAATGATACATCTATATGAGAGAGAGAGAGAGAGAGAGAGAGAGAGAGAGAGAGAGAGA